TCCGTGTGTAAACGGGTGCTCACCGCTCCTGTGAGGCCAGTCACGTGTAGGCCTCTGGGAGGGAGAACGTTGCTTTTCCACCAGGGGCTCAACCCACACAAAAACCAGGCATTGTACCGATCAGACACAAACTTCCAAGTCGATGCAGAACAGAACTCTGAAAAGGCAAGATGGCGCACACGCCCCGGGATCACGCCCTCCAGAGGGAGGCTGCCCGCAGGTTTGCCGTGTACTCTCGCCCGTGGGTTTTTCTCGCTCATAGTTACAGAGCTTCAGGGCTGAGTGTCAGGAGTTTATGTTTTGGCCCCTTCCATCCACACCTGCACAGTCAGTGGGGGAAAGTCTGTAGTAGCTGAGGGAGTGTTTCCAAAACCACTCTGCAGGGGCTATCATCACAAAGGGAGGAGAGAACCTTCCAGATGCTGTGCTGGTTGGTGGGAAGGACACTGAGTCCACCTGCAGAGTGGGGGGGGGGGGGGGGGGACTGGGCTGCTTGTTTTACTCCCCTGCTGGGTCATTTCCGGGACCGCCCCAGGGTCCCCCAAAACCCGGCCGAACCCCAGAAGGGGCGGGGGGGGGGGGGGGGGGGGGGGGGAATGCTAACAACCTGATGGAAGCCACACAGAGCTTCCCACAGGCCTTACCTTGAAACCTTCACTCATTTGGTGTCTTTTCCTCTCGTGCTAAGATTCTTTGGGGACTGAGATTTGCCCTCTGTGTTCCCTTAGGCAGTGGCTTGTTAATTACACCCTACGGTCTATGGATACCCAGGTTCCATCACATCACCTCCCCCCACTACACACACACACACACACACACACACACACACACACACAGAGACACACATCCTGCCTGCCTCACAGTCCACCAGGGAGCTTGTCCACAAGTCCCAGACCTGCCCGACCAGAATCTAAGAACAGGCCTGGGACTCCGTGTGCATCCCAGGCTCCCTAGGGACTGCAGCACAGCCAAGTACGGGAGCCCCCTGCTGGCCCAAGGCCCTGGGTTCATCGACAAACAGAGGGGCTCTGCGTAGGTGAACTGCTGACCCGAGGTGGTCCCAGGACACCCTCACGCTCCTCACTAGCCCGCTCTCACTAGAAAAGTCTACTCGGACCTCAGTGTGACCCCAGGGAGCCTGGAAAACGGTAACTTGGATTTATCAGGACTGAAATGTCACAATCTGGTTGAGATCCGTGAACAGGCCGCAGCTTTTAAACCCAGTAATGTTCTTTCCTTATAAGAGTTTTAACAAGTGGTTGTCAGTTCCCAACCTTTACTTTTTAATGAGTCCAGTGATGCCTGCCCATGTGTGAAGGCTTCGGACCTCCTTGCCAACAGTCTGTTTCAGAAATAGTGACTCACGATCTTGTTCCAGCGCTTTCACCAGTCCTCCCACGTACCCCACACACACCCTGCGCAGGAAACGGGGCCAGCAGAGGGGCTTCTCAATTTACAGCTGAGATTGAGGCTCAACAAACAGTTCTCTCAGAAACTCGGCTTTTCCTACAGTATTTTACTTTGTGAAAAGATCATCACTTGTCTAATAAGCAAACGCTTTAGAAACTGTTAAGGGATGTACAAGCACAGTTAACCCTGTTGCAAGCAAGTGTTGGTCTACAGTCAATACGCAGAGTCCAAGTACAGTTACAGTTACATTATGAAGCAGTGCCTTCTATTTCTTTGTACCCAGGCTTCCAAAATTCCACACTCCAGCTTCCTTCTCCCTTCTTCCTTCTTCCTGTCCCCTTTCCTGGGGTTCCTCTCTCATCTCACTCAGTACGACTTCAAATTCCACCTCTATACAGATAACATCCACAGTTTTTAAAAAATATCTTTTTATTGATTTCAGAGAGGAAGGGAGAGGGGGAGAGAGAGAGAGAAAGAAACATCAATGGTGAGAGAGAATCATTGATTGGCTGCCTCCTGCATGCCCCCTTCTGGGGATTGAGCCAAAAACCCGGGGCATATGCCCTGACCGGGAATCACACCGTGACCTCCTGGTTCATAGGTCAACGCTCAACCACTGAGCCACACCAGCTGGTCAACATCCACAATTATATCTCCAGTCAGAGCTCTCTCTATATTCAGGGTCAAAGGACATGGGACACCTTTTATTTGTCTTAACAGGCGTAAGGCGATCTTCAGCCCCCTGGCCCCATTTCCACCCTGTCGACCTCATCTCAGTATTAAGGCACTACCATTGCCTTAATACTGAGATGGAATTGATACCTTCCATTTCTCCCTCCCTCAAAGTTCTGTGGTTTCTCCAGGATAATCGTTTCCCAGCACTGCCTCATCCAGGTCACCTTCCTCTTTCCTAGCAGCAGTTCCAATAGCCTCCTACCTGGTCTTCTCGCCTGCTTTTTAAACTCCCTACAATCCAATTTCCACACTGCAGCCAGTGGTATTCCCCCAGAGTGAGTTCCTGAGAGCATAGTAAGACCATCCCCTGCTTAAAAACCTTCCATGTTTTCCTTTGCACTTGGAATAAAATCTAGCCTCTCTACCTCTCTCCTGCCACTCCCCACCTCACCCACGGACTCTGGCTTCACTGATGGGCAGTTCCACAAACACGTACCTTGGGGGTGTTTCCTTAAAAACACACTTCATTGCCAGCTCAGAGCCTCCGCCTGTGCTGTTCCCTCCTCATTTGGAAGGTGTGCTCCTTCGGGACTCAGCTCACCCGGCCTCCACAGAGAGGCCATCTTTACCACCCCGTTTAAAGTGGGTTTCTCCCCGATCCTGTCCCTGGCTGGTCACCTTACTCCTCTTTCTCTCATGGCACCTGATCACAGCATGCAGTTTTGTTTTTACTTGTGGCCTCTGAACCCCACTTTTTGGCAGGTGGTAGGTTCTCAAATACTTGTTGACTGCATGAATATTTTACTTCTGTAGACTTGAAACGCTTCTGCAAAAACTTCTGATCCTCCTTTCTTCTACCTCTAGCTCCCAGGAACCATTTTGACGAGACCAGACTCCAACGTTAAAGTTCTCTGCTGTCCTCAGCAGGACTCGGCCACCGAGAGGTGGGGCATGTAGGAAGGTGCAGGGACCCAAGAACACCAGCAGTGGGACTCAGGGGTTCCATACTTTCCGCATATGGACTCATTGAAAAGTATATATTTTATTAAAGTGGAAATGCTGAATTCTCTCTGAATAAGGAATAGACCAGACCAAGGAGGTAAATGAGTTTCCAGGGAATTATGAGGCTCCTGTGATGGAAAAGTCTAGGTAGGGGCCACTATGATCATAGAGTCCTTTTTGGTGTCTCTTTTCCAAGAGCCTGTGTATAGCTCCCCTCACACCCCAATCTGGGTCATTATGAGGACCTGATTCCTCTTAGGCCAATGGTCGGCAAACTGTGGCTTTCGAGCCACATTCGGCTCTTTGGCCCCTTGAGTGTGGCTCTTCCTAAGCCTTAGGAGTACCCTAATTAAGTTAATAACAATGTACCTACCTATATAGTTTGTTTTAAAAAAATTGGCTCTCAAAAGAAATTTCAATCATTGTACTGTTGATATTTAGCTCTGTTGACTAACGAGTTTGCCGACCACTGTCTTAGGCCAACGTCACCCAACGAGAGCAGACCCTGGGCAGTTCCAGGAAGGCTAACCGGCCACTGAGCCCAGGCCACAAGTCCTCCCCTCTGGTACAAAGCAGGGCAGCTCGCCAGAGCTCACAGGGTTACCCTTGTGTAGCTTTTCACATTGTCCTTCCTCCATCAAGAACTTCCTCTTTCATTCTGCTGAAAACCACAACCAGATTGGAGAACTGGGCCCCTTTTCACATTTCCCCCACGGCCTTTATCACACTCGGCTCTCTCTAGGCAGCTGGGCTTCCATCAGTATCTCTCTTTGGGTTCTGTCTGGTTTATGGTGCCTGGTTCCAGATGCCATCTCTACCTGCTGGGTGCCTGCTACTGTTCTCTTCTCCGGAATGAAAATCTGAGAGTGATGGTGACTGGCTTACCCCTCCAGGAAGGGAACTCGCCACCTGAACCTGCATGCCTGTGCTCCCATTCCAGAGCAAACACATTTGCAAGTACTTCCTGGTGTGACTGAACAAAAATCGAAATGAAAGGGGCTTGCCGGTTTGGCTCAGTGGATAGAGCATCGGCCTGCGGACTGAAGGGTCCCAGGTTCGATTCCAGTCAAGGCCATGTACCTTGGTTGCGGGCCCATCCCCAGTAGGGAGTGTGCAGGAGGCAGCTGAATCGATGTTTTTCTCTCTCATCGATATTTCTAACTCTCCCTTCCTCTCTGTAAAAAATCAATAAAATATTTTTTTAAAAAAATGAAAGGGGCTTCCTTGAGTTCTTGTTCCCTAAGAGTGTCTCCTCCCTCTTTTCCAAAATTGTAAAGTCAAACTCTTGTGCAAATTTACCACAGTTTATTGAATTTTTCTGGGTAGTGGCAGCTCTGGCTAAACATTTGAAGAGCCCTGGCTCCCTGAGGAAGGTGGGGGAGCCCAAAGCAGGGCCTCTGTACAGGGGCTCAGGATCCCCTCCCCCAACCCCCACCAAGTGAGCGGCAGCATCTCTAGGGGACCTGAGTCTGTGGATCCCGTGGAGAAGAGGATGCGGGAGGCAGTAAGGACATACAGACACCTCAGAAGGGGACTCACTCCCGGGCACATTCTGCGGTTAGAAAATATATTTCTATTTTAAAATTATTTTTTAAGAATGTGACTTTCAGACCAAGCCAAACATTTAATCACAGCACAATGCCTACACATGTTTAAGTCCTTTTCTTCTCCCATCTTACAAAAAATAAATAAAAAATACAGGCGCCTTTATGCAGAACGGTGTGTCCATCTGTAACCAATTCTGCTGGGAGGCCTGTCAGCCCTGTTCTGCTGGGAAGCCAAATACTGGAGTCCGGGAGGCAGTCCTGCATCCTCCCTGTTCATCGCATGCACCGGGAAGGTTCAGATGACTTGGAAGAAGTCAAGCTTCGGTTTCACGGTCCCTTCTTCAGAACAAACGGAGTCACGGACCAGAGCCCTATCAGCCTTCTCTCTCCCTTCCCAAGGGGGGCCCTACAGCTCCTTCTCACTGGCCTTGTCGCCGTCGTCGCTGTGCTGGGCCTGTTGCCTCTGCTGCACCAGCTCCTTGTCCAGTTCCCGGAGCTGCTTCAGGAAGCCCCAGTTGGGGAGGACACAGCGGTTCTTGGCCACTTGTTGAATGGCGTCCACCAGGGTCATGTTCCTGTGGATCATCAGGTAGGCCAGGACCAGGGTCGCCGAGCGGCTGCGGCCCATGACGCAGTGAACCAGGATCTTATCTGAAATGGAGTGGGGACAAGAGGCAGCAAACTAGCTAGTCATCATGGCATTCTTCACCACCATGCACTCGGGGGGGTTGGGGGGAGCGGTGGGGAGGGAGCTAGTTTCACTTAAGAATATCCCTGATGGGCCGTACAAATTAATTTATCAAATTTCAGCCCTTGGTTACACTTCTTAATATTCTGTGTGATGAAATGGGAAGCACACATAGAGCACTTGGCCTGCATACCGGAGCGCGATAGTTATCGTGGGAGAAGCACCAGGGAGATCGAGTTGCAAGTTGAATTGGCCACTGTTTCATAAGACACCCTTTTACTTAAAAGAATGGATGACAGGAAAACCATGGTCATTTAAACTTGGGTATTTGGCAGACTTTGGCTCAAAAGTGAACACAGTCAGTCTGCCACATCACAGAAAACAACGGATGGTCTTTATTGCCAGTGATAAAATGCAAGCTTTTGAGCAAATACTAAGAGTTTTGGAAAACTTGTATCTATCACTGTGAAGCTGACGGTTTCCCAATACTTTGAAGATTTTTGTTAGGATGAGTGATGAAGTTAACAAATGTGTTTTTGATAATGTCTAGTGGAAAGTGTCAACATTTGGAGGATCTGCATAACTGAGTAAACCAAATGACCAAATACAAGATATTACAGAATCATGCAGAGGTAAAACATCCACTCAAAGACAGACCAGTGGATTTTCATGTAACTGAGTATGAAGTTTATTGATACGGCTTCAGATTCCACATCACAGCTAGCCTTTAAGAAGCTATCATTTGCCCGGTCGGTGTGACTTGGGGGTTGAAAGCGTCGACCCATGAACCAAGAGGTCACCAATGTAGTTCCTGGTCCAAGTACATGCCTGGGTTGTGGGCTCGATCCCTAGTAGGGGATGTGCAGAAGGCAGCCAATTGATGTTTCTCTCTCATTGATGTTTCTATCTCTCTATCCCTCTCCCTCTCTCTCTAAAAAAATAAACAAAATCATATACTTTTAAAAAAAAGAAGCTATCATTTGTCAAGTGTGGGTGTAGTATGAAGAAGAATACCCACAAGTACCTGAAAAGGCGATTAGAGCCTCCCTCCCTTCTCCAGCTACACTGCTGCTGAGTGAGGCTGGATTTTCTTCATCCGCGCCAACCAAAACAATGTACCACAACAGATTGAATGCAGAAGCTAATCAGATTCCAACTGGATTCTAATAAGCCTCGCATTGAAGAGATTTGCAACATTGTAAATTAATACCACTCTTCTCCCTAACTGTATTGGAAAATACAATTTTTCATAAAAATATGTTATGTTAATATCCAATGGTGTGTTTCATCCTTTTAAAATGAGTATTCAACTTTTCAGTTTTTCTTTCTAATAGGGTAAGTGCTGATAGATACAACCTGCGTAAACAAAACTCCCTTTGGCCACTGCCATGGCAGTGTCTGGGCCCCGCTGCGAAGCCTTGATGTGAAGCTGTTGCCTCTAGAGCTCACGTGCTGAGCATCCACCGTGTTATTCCATCCTTAATACAGCCTTCAGGGCTCCAGTATCATCCTCCCTGCTTTACAGAGAGGGAAACGACTTGTCAGAGGTCACTCAGAAACCTGGTGCCAGCACTAGATAGTTCAAAACAACATGTTATTGAGGCCCTACTGTGTGCTGGACACTGGCCATCATGCTCTTGGGACAGAGAAAATGCTGAGATTAGGATCTCTGGCTGTACCCACTACTGGTAGGCCAGCGGCCACCCTCCCTGGTTGTGCGATCGCTCTGCTGGCGTCAAGCTGGCTGAGGCGGCTCGAGCTGTGGGACCCCAGTGCTGTCCCTGTTCCTGAGTCTCAGGCCCGAGGCCTGGAAAGATGACCAAGAAGACATTCATGGACATCCCCGGGTCTCTGGAGCATCGGCAGGACATGAGAACAGCTTGGAAAGAACACTTCTGAATGGACATGGCTCTCCTGTGTCCCTCCCATCTTCCTCAGGGGACCATGTCCAGGACAATGGGAATGGCCAGCAGCCATGGCAGCATGAGGACTCCAAGAGGGTTGAACCCCAGGCGCCAGGGTCCCCTCCCCACCCCCACCTGGTCAGAGAGGCCGGCACACCCTGCCTGACAGTAAGGACTCTACTGATGGCCTCTCCATACATCGAGGGAGCACGGAGAGGTGTTCCATGAAGAGCCATTCGCTTTATCACCGTCCTTTTCCACGGATCCCCACAAGCTAACCCGGCGGCCTCTGGTCCCAGCCTTCATGCTGCTGAGCTACACGAGCCTGGCCTCACCGCCCCTGCCTTGTGCACCTTGGCCGGCAAGGAGGGCGAGAAGCAGGGCCACTCCCTTCCTGCGGGCCGGGTTTGGGGAACTGGCCCTGAGGGACGGCTGGAGTGGCATGTCTACCTCTGGCATCCTAATCCCCACACCCTGTTCCAGAGGCTGCTGGCCCCCCGCCAGCCGGCTGATAACTAAAGCGTTTCTTCCTCTCCTGGCAAAAAGGGTAATTCTTTCTGTCATGACTAAATGCTCCAAACAGACGAAAGCTGTAGTTCATTAAGCCTTTTGGGAGCCTGAAGTCTGCTGAGTGGGAGGAGGGGGTGGGAGAGGAAGGAGAGGGGGTTTGGTGGGAGTGCAGGGGGGGGTGCTCAGCCCCAGCAGGAGTTCCTGGAACTAAATTTGTTTTTATGACGGTGGCATTAATGCCACCAGCCATGTGCGCTTGGTAGGTCCCCCTGGGGTCAAGGGCCTCCCCCAGATCCTCAGGGCCCTGCTCCCTCTTTGCTCTGGGGCTCTGCTAAGCACCACCCGTTGGGGCCCAGCATGGGGTGGTGAGAAACTGCAGTTGGGAGGGAGAGAAGGCCAGGAAGGCTGGCCTGTTCCCAGCAGGGCCCTGGCCAGAGAGAGTAGGGGGCTCTCTGGGAGTTAGATACCAGCCGGGGTCAGGCCCTGGGTGGAGGCAGCGTTGTCAGGGTTTGGCACTTTCTGGGTCAGCAGCTTTCAAACCCTTTGGTGTGGTTCCCAGAAACACTATATAGAATTCATCGCTAACACGAACATAGCCTCAGCTCACGCCCCATCTTCCAAGTATGTTGTTATGTATTTTTACTGTAGCCAATCCTCACAACCTGATGAGGTAGGTGAAAGACCATCCCCATTTTTCAGAGGAGGCAGCTGAAGTGCAGAGAAGGGACTCCAAGTCGCACAGCTAGGAAGTGGCTGAAGTGTGTGTGGTTCGGACCCAGGCACCTGCCGCCAGGGTTGAAGCTCTTAAACGCTAAGGGGCGGATCGGAATCACAAGTGTGCGTGTCAGACGAAAGTTTCACAAAGTAATACGCACTTTTCCCACGCACAATGCCTGCTGCTATTTTCTATTCTAATCTATTCCATTTTTTAAAAAAGAAATGCTGGTTGTGCCCACTATAGGTCACAATCTTAATGTTTGGAAAAAAATGGTGATTTCAATGAAATATCTTAGGCCTTTACCAAAACTTGAATTCCCAAAAGTTGAATCTTATGAAGAAAACCCAAATCCAGAATCTCTGCGGCTTCCCAATTGCATATTTCCCTTCTGACCAGGAGGTAGGCCTCTGTCACTCAAGTCAGACATACAGGCCAAGCCCCCCAACCCCGCACACCCTCACCTGCACCACCCGTACCCCCACCAGGTGTGCACTCCCTAAACACCTCCTGTCTGGGTTTGGGGGATGCCCTTTGCCTCTCTCTCGCTCAGCCCTTGCCTCCTCAGCGGCATGCAAAGCCAGAGTTCATACTTCTTCCCAAACCGGTCAGGCTCGAAAAAGTCCTCAGAAAAAGGGGGCACGGCGGGTTCTGAGCTGCCGAGGGGCAGGCCCGAGTGTGCCGCAGAGGGAAGACTCTCACATCACCTGAGAGTCGGCCCTGCCTACAGCTCAGAGGCACCAGGGATCCGCCTCCTGCTCAGATGCAGCCTTCCTTTACTGACTCACGCCCACCTTGGCCACAATGGCCTTGAAGGTGGTGTGAAAGCAGGCTGTGGACCGTCGGTTAAAGAAAAAGAAGGAAGGAAAGGAGAGCGGTGATACTAAGACCCGATCTTTAGAGCCTCCTGGTGTCTACCCTGGGATTTTTCCGACGATTTCCTTAAATTAAAACCACCCCAAGTCGCTCGGAGGAGGCCACGCCAGGAGCGGTGAAGGCAGCCCGAGCGGGGTCCCCATGGCAGGCTTTTGTCAGGACTTGTTTTTCTGATGAGGAATGACAGGTTCCGTTGTTTCAGATCCCATCACCCGCTGCCCTGCCTCACGTGCCATAATATTTGGTGACTTGTTACACAGCAAAGTCACCAGATGCTCAAAATAAGGGCAGAGGATTCTCCCGTGAGGCCTGAGTGACAAGCGTTCCCACCGAGGGCCTCCCATGGGCTCCGTGGCCCCGGGCTCCTCCCTTGGCTCCTGGGTCCCCAGCTCCTGGGGCGGGACACTGGGCTGGATGATCTCTAAGATTTTTCCAGGGGGACTGAGTCTGCCTGCGGGGTTCTCTCAGGAAGAGCAATCAGGGGAGGGCCGGTGGGAGTGGGCGCCCTGGGCTGACTCCACAGCTCCACGAGCAGTGCTTTTCAAAAAGAGGGAGCGAGACAGCTGTGGGCAGCAGAGGGAAGCCGTGTGCCCTTGGCAGACACTAGCCAAGGAAGAAGAGGAAAGATAAGAGGAAAGAGAGACGCCTTGCCTTTTGGCCAGACTGTCCATCAACACCTCTTACATCAAGAGTATAATAAGAAACACGCGCGTGGGCCTGGCTCTGACGTGCAGTAGTCGTGTCCCTTGGTTTCCCAAAGCCCGACGAGGCACAGCCGCCCAGGGCACGTGGCCGGCAGGCCGGGCCCAGGCACCGCCACTGCAGGGAGCCCGTGGCAATGCTGCTGCCCAGCTGGCCAGCCTTTTATTGTGTTACTGTGACTCCTGAGGGCACAGGTTACCCACTGACAGCCGTTGGGTTTCTTTTGTTTGGCCTTCGCAGCATTTTAAGAAATTTTCAATGTGTTGCCAACACTTAAAAATCGAGTGATTTTACATCAAATCCCAGATTGGAGACATTTCCTGAAAAGTCGAATCTACCACATTTGCGCTGGTTCTCACAAAACAAACGCTGGCTGGGACTGGGCAGCAGCTGCCCCTTGGGAAGGGGTACGAGCTCTGCACTTAGCCACAAGCACCCCAACCGCACCCCACGGCTTACACACAGCTGCTTCGTTCACTCCTGCACACTGCCTGGTCCTAAGCGGGTAGGACTTTGAGCCTTCAACTCAAGAAAGTCTTTAAATATGTAAGCGCACAGTCTTGGCCGGTGTGCCCAGTGGTTAGAGCATTGGCCCGCACACCAAAGGGTCACAGGTTCAATTACCGGTCAAGGGCACATACCTGGGCTGCAGGTTTGATCCCGGCCCCAGTCCTGGTGCGTGTGGGAGGCAATCAATTGATGTTTCTCTCTCTCTCTCTCTCTCTCTCTCTCTCTCTCTCTCCCTCCCTCTCTTACACTCTCTCTTAAAAAAAATCAATGGAAAAAATACCCTTGGGTGAGGATTAACAACAACAACAAAAAATGTAAGCGCACAAGGTACTGAGAAGGGAGCCCAGCCTCCCACCTGGCAATGCAGCCCTGTCCTGGTCCCCATCCCCAGCCAACAGTCTAGTCCCCACCCCTGCATACTCTCTGGCTTTGGTATATACTTCCCCCCCACCTTTTTTCTTAAAGAGACTGTTTTTTCTTTTTGTTTTTAATGATGTTTTATTGATTTCAGAAAGGAGGGGAAAGGGAGAGATAGAAACATTAATGATGAGAGAGAATCATCGATCTGTTGCCTCCTGCACGCCCCACACTGAGGATGGAGCCCACAAGCCAGGCATGTGCCCTGACTGGGAATTGAACTGTGGCCTCCTGGTTCATAGGTTGACGCTCAACCACCGAGCCACACCAGATGGGCATCTACTTTTCCCTCTTGACCCTTTCTTTGCGAGGTGCTTTCGACCACCTGGTCTACCAGTCACTCTCCACACCAGCCTGACCTCTCCGCATCGAAGCTCTGTGATCTGCCCAGGCCTAAACAGGACTCGAGGGTCCCATTCTCTCCTGACTCCGCAGTGTGGGCAGACTCTAAACTCATGTGCCGGGAACCAAAAACAAGCTGTCGTATGAGCATATCATACTAGTTCAAAGTTGGAATGTCTTTTTTTCTTTGGGGGTTGGAAACTTTATGATGATGATGTGCATGTGCTGGTGTGGCTGTGTGTTTCACGGTGCACGACCTCTCTCTCTCAAACACATCTGAGAGCCTGCTGCGCACCAGGTTCTGTGCTAAGCGCTTTATGTCGGTTACTGCGGAGCCTCATTATAATCTTTCAAGGTAAATATTTTTATCACCAGATGCAGAAACGAAGGCTCGGAGAAATCACATTGTTACTAAGCTGTGAATCTGAACCCAGCCCTGTCTTCTCCAAAGCCTGCCAGCGCCCCTTCCATTAAGGGGAAGGCCAAAGGTAGAGTCATGGCAAGTGAACTGAAGGATTGGGTGGTGGTACTGTAGCTTTTTGGTGTGTTTTTTTTTTTTCATGTCAAATATGTTTTCAGTTAACTTCAAATATTCCGAGGCGAATTTTACCTCGTGGTGATGAGTCAGAGTCCAGTTGCTTTTTGATCCTGCTTGGAAACCCAGATTGTGCACAACACAAAAGGTGGCCCATAAATAGACTCATAAAAGAGTGACTTTGAAATGAAGCATCCCTGAATACAAGCACTTCCGTTCCATGAGTTTCTTTTTCACCATGACATTGCTGTGAACCAAAATAACGACCAATTGTTGGTGCCTATGGCTGGCTGTGGGGCCAGGTCCACCTTGGGACGGCCGTCAAGGCCTGGGACTGCAGCAGGCATGGCCCCGGCTCGGCCACAGGTTGCAAGTTCCTGAAGCAGGCCATTTGGTCAGGCAGTGAGCCTTGTGACCCCAACCTCTTTTGCTAAGAAAGCTTTCAGTACAGTAGTCCCCCCTTGTCCGTGGAGGATGTGTTCCCAAACCCCCAGTGGATGCCTGAAACCACAGATAGTTACTGAACCTAAGCAACTTCTTCAACTCTGCCGGAAATGTGGCAGCAGCTGTTTTATTGGCAGACGCAGCCTCTCCAGTAATTTTATTATTTTTCTGTCCAACCTACTCCTGAATCTGTGCAACCATCCCTTACTTGTAGCAAATGGCTTGGTGTCACTCATTTCAGGGGATCCCTTGCTGAAATCATTGTATAGGCTCCATGCTTTCTGGTGCAACAGGTTGCATCAATCACAACCCATTTTCTGTTCTGTCTTCCACCTACAAATTTAATGCTTTTTCTATCTTAATTAAGCTTGTCATGCGCTGTGGCCATAATTTTTGCAGTTTAAGGTGAGACAGCAAAACTAGCACAAATTTCTTTTTCCTTCTTCACAATTTCACGGATAGAAGATTCCTTTACAGTAAGATCTTAGCAACCTCAGCAAACAATTTTTTTTCTTTCCTATTAATTCAAGAACTTTCACCTTTTCACTTACAGTTTCTCTTTGGTGTATCTGAATTGCCAGCATCACTACTCTGGCACTTTGGGGCCATTAAGTAACGTAGGGGAACTTGAACTCAAGCACTGCGATACTGAGGCAGTCGATCTGATAACCGAGATGGCTACTGAGTGACTAATGGGCAGGGAGCATATACAGCGTGGATTTGCTTAACAAAGGGATGATTCCTATCCCTGACGAGATGGATCAAGACACTGCGAGATTTCATTACGCTACGCAGAATGGCGTGCAATTTAAAACTTATGAATTGTTTATTTCTGGAAATTTTCATTTAATATGTTCAGACTGTGGTTGACTGGAGGTAACTGAAACTAGGGAAAGTGAAACTGCAAATGAGGAGGGGCTACTGTCACTGGTGACCCCAAATTATGTGATGGTCCCATAAAGGGTTGTGACACATGCGGCTGAAGTCAGAACACAGATTAGGGCGGTGAAGTCCCTCTGGCCTCTATGGAATGCCACCCTGCAGCCGTAACTGCATATTGTCTTACCTGACGCATTCCTAAAGTGTGCCCTTCTCTCCAAAATAGCCTGGTAGCCTTTCCCTGGATTAGGGCAGCTGAAACTGCAAGGACTAGCACTGTGCTTTCAAATTAACCCCGGGAAGCTCGGGCATCACAGGTGCAAAGCTCAGTCTCAAATATAGTTTGCCACTTATGAAGGCTAGGTGGTCACTAGACTGAGTGTTACTGGACTTAGGGAGGGTCGGGTGGATGAGGGGGTAGGGAGGCTGTGGGCTTGGTTGGTTGGCAGGAGAATTTGCCGTCTTTCCACAGATTTTCCACTCAAGTCAGCTGCCTGAGGGTTTTCTGGCCTCAATCCTTTGACTATTCATCGGGTTTGGGCACAGGCACAATTGCATCCCAGCTGTGAGCGTTCCCCAGACCCCCCTCCTTTGGAAGGATGGAGGAGGTGCCTGAGGGAGGAGAGCTTCAGGCCAAAGGCCTCCCCTCTGAACCCTCCCCATGCCGATGCCATCAAAGCCTGAACTCCACCAGCAGGCTTACAGCCTCCAGGGGCTCAGACCTTTCCAGCTCATCCACATGGAACCCCCGCAGGGTGGGCTTTGAGAGGGGAGCCGACTCCCAGAGTATAGAACCCTCTTCCCACGGGGCGGGGAGGAGGGGGCCGTTAGGGGGCGCGGGGCTCTTACTGTGATCAGAGTGGAGCGCACCGTCAATGAAGGCGGCCGCCGAGTAGAAGAAGACGCTGAGGTCGAAGGTGGGCACGTCGTCGGCCTCGACTCCGTGGTACTCAATGTCCATGCCGCGGTAGTAGTCGGGCCCCGTGTCCACGTTCCGGCGGCCGTGGGCAGCGTTCAGCACGTGCGTGAAGCCCGCCTTCTGCAGCCCATAGCGGTCCAGCGCCGTGACCCTGAGCGCACAGGAGAGAGACGT